AAGGTATACTACTGGGAAATGAAGAGAGAAAAGGGTAAGAACAGTTTTAAAATTAGAACAGATTAAAATTAGAATGAAAGAATACCTGTATCTCCCACCTAAGAATAACAGCAATTTTCAGTAGTAATTTACTTAAGTGCTCTGGAGTTGAACACATACAAAACAATAAAGAACTCATGTAAAAGACAGAGCATCATTCTCACAGTTTGAAACATGTTCCTCTGTCTCACCAAACAAAAAATTGAAAGCATATGTAATTAAAAGAAACACTACTGCTGTAACACTACAGCAGAAATAGTAGAAATAGTTACAGGTTAATTTATATTAGGTGGTTGTAGCTCCTCTATGTAGAAAAAAACTGCATCACAGACTTCCCTAGTACCGAGAGCAGATATCATTTACATAACCCGTGCCTATGTTGACTGGTTTATGAATGGCACAATACCTCAAGGCGCCATTAAAAAGACCATTGCATAAATAAGACTGTACAGCAAATGGAATTTAGTTAGAGGTAGAAAGGGATTATTCAAAGTATCACATGGAAAAAAGAAAAAAAAAGGAAGACAACAATTACCAGTTTCATAAAGTTAACTTTACACTTCTCTCAAACTGAATTAATTTTACTCAGAGTTAACTGGGCTTTTTTATTATTATTCAAAACACTGAAGCTTCTTTCCTAACAGTTTGCACAGATTATGAAGTTTGGTCTGAACTCCTCAGACTGCAAGTAACCTTTTTCCCACGTTTCCGAGTAGATTGACTATTACACAGGGCTTGACAATTAAACTAACAGTTTTGAAACTGAAGTCACAGTCTTAGTTAATATAAAGTATAAGCTTAATTAAACTTAAGTATATGTAAAAAAACCCCCATTTTTTTTCATTTGTTTAGCTTAATCTAAACAGTTTGGAAAAAAAATTACACGTAAATAAAAGAAACCACATTCATGTTGGCAACTTAAAATGATGCAACAACATTCGCTAAATGTAACAGCGATCCTTTAGTAGAGTAATCAAGCCCTGCTAGGGGCAGGACAGTTGGGCAACAGAAGGTTATCTATTCATGCTGACCTTCTGCTTTAGTCCAGGAAAGCACACAGACATTTTTTTTCCAAGCAAATTTAGCAAAAAAAGTGTCCATCATCACAAGCATTAACTACCCTCAAGTGGACTGTACCTTAAAATACACAGACACGGGATAGCTATAATCCAACATGCAAAAAAAAAAGGAGGCTATTGTGCAATACCCCTATCCCAAAATCATAATCTTTGATGTGTTAGCAAACATAAAGACCTTCACTAGCAATCTTTCAAGAAAGTTCCCTTTGTCACCCTCTAAATAGATCTACATAGCAGCAAAACGGGTTCACAGTCCTGTAAACGGGTTGGGTGCATGTTGGGGAAGAAATAAGGAAAAGGCAATAGGAAAAGTAGTTTCTAACTGCTGGGGCACACATGTTATACTGCTGCTCACAATGTCAACTTTAAATCATAATAAAAAAAACCCACCTTCTGTCTGATTACCTTTCTCAAGATATAGTATTACTACAATTAGCTCCTACCAATTTCTAGAAGTTAAGATTGTGGAAAGAAAAATGACAGCTATTTTTCAAGCTTGCTTTCACAGTGCATTGGACAGAACTTGCATCTGCCCAGTTTCCTTACATACTCAACCTGTCTTCTGTTCCAGATACAGCAAATGCTTCCAAATTAAAGGAAAAATATCGGTGCAAAGCAAAAAATCTCTAAGAGATATGTTACTTTTGCAAATTCTGAAGAAAGGCCACAGATAACTCCAACTGTAAGAACTATATACTGCTTTATCCAGCTTATTTTTTCCCCCTTCAGGATATACCATGTTTTCAGAACTTTAACACAGAGATCTGTATCATCCTCTTGTACTTGCAGGAGATTTCAGGATTAGTTCACCAACTTCACAAAAAGTATTTTCAGTTCTGCAAGACACCACAGATATTCTATGTATTTGGGTACACTGCTAACAGTTTTCAGCAAGTCCAACCGTGAACTGGAGATGTCAGATTACTAACCCTGGAAGATTTGAGATTCTGCAAGTCAAGAACCCTGAGCAGTCCGTTTCACAGTTTAAAAGATTAAGTCTAATCTTTTAATCTTTATTTTTCGTTCATCTCGAAATTGGCTCTGAAGTGACAAACTCAAATCCCTCTTCTTTCCTGTCCAGACCAGAACTTAATAAAACAGGTACGGGGGTTCCCCCTCACTGTGCGCGTCTCGGACTACAGAGGGAACTTTCCCCCCACTCCGAAGTCCCGAGCTCGGCGGGGGACCCGGCCGGCAGCCTCGCAGCAGGGGGAGGTAACATCAC